GATGATGGGCGTGAGGATGGGGGTGATGGGAGTAGGGTTGGCGCTGTTGGCGAGCGCGGCTTGGCGCTTTGGAGGACGAAGAAGACGCGTAACCTGAGATGGGGGACGCAGGACGGTCTTGTGCAGCTGTGACATTCTTGTGGCCGAGTGGGGACGGAGGTAGAGAGAACGACTCGCGGCGTCGGACAACAGGTAATGAAGGAGCAGTTTCTTGGTGATCCTGCACCCCACCGTGCACAAGGCCTGCGAAGAATCCTACGACAGCCCCGCCGACACCCTTTCTGCGACTCTGATCACTGGCCTCCTTGATGGCGTTGCCTCCTTCTCGCCGCTCCGAATCTGGGGTAAATATGCGAGTCTCCTTGTATCCCGCCTCGCGTAAAAGATCCTCCAAACGTTCATAAGTGCGCGACGTGCCCCGGCGGTGGAGAGGGACGCGGCTCGGATCGTTCCCTTTGGCGAGCGCGAGAGGATATCGCGCAGGTGCCCTGCCCCGGCTATTTCGTGGCGGTGTGCTCGGGGGAGAAAAACGGGAGGTAGATGGCTGGGAACCGGTGGCTGAAGTGTCCGACGAGGACATTAGGCTCGGTGGGGACAGAGATGGGGAAGTAGGTCGATTAGTCTGTCGATGTCGTTCTTGAGACAACGAGCAAAGCACAGAGAAGGCCAAACGCACCATGTTAAATTATAATGTAAATGGTAGTGACAAAGCCTTGCAAAGTGGGGATGTCCAATGAAGAGCCGAAGAACGCGCGGAAACTTGAACGCGTCTAATTTCTATGGGGTGGTACTGTGGTGGAAGTCGGACTTGTGCTTGTAGAGAAGGCGGCGCGGTCAGACGAAAGGGCACGCACGTCTTCGAGATCGACGTTATCGTCGTTGTCGTAGAGCAGAGAGCGAAGGAGGGAGCGAGGAAGAGCAGGCTACACGGTCGCCATGCAGAGAGGAGCGAGTGGGAACAAATCTTGTTGGTCGGTTGGAACCTCGGAGCGCCCGTTCGCCGCCGGCTAACCGAATGGAACCAAATCACCGTTGATCAGTTTCCCACGGGTCTCGCTCTCCCCACATCTTTGACAAAACATTCGAGAACAATGTAGCACGTATCTACCACTACAGTCTACAGTACGTAGCAGCAGAAAGTGTAATAAAGAGGATGGAGTATGCATCGCGTTACAGCATGAAGTACACAGCGCAATCTGGCTTCAACGGCTATAGGTCCATCTTGTCTTCCGCTTCCCATCCTGGATTCTTTTGAAGAATCACGAATCCCTCAAGGATAGGAGCGAATGGGATGTATTCCTCCGTCGCCAACTCTGCGCGTTCCGTCGTCGCCACACGCACAGGCGTCTGGTACGTTTGGAAGCCGGAGATCGTTCGCGGCTTGCCTGCTTGACCAACAACATCGACCGCCTGCACGTTTGTCAGAACACGGTGTGGGAAAGAAAGCAGGGAGCGTACCTGTCCGACGCGAACCGTGACCGGCATCGGGTTCAGCTCCTCATCCAGGCTGATCAGGAATCGCGGGTACATGGCAGTCACAAGGAAGTAAATCATCCAGTGGTACTTATCCAAGATGACTGAAAGGCCCCAGCCGTCAACAACAGTGTCCTGTGGCGACGCAAATGCGATGCGACTTACAAGCCTTCGCGTCCGTAAATGCCGTGAACGTCGCAAGCAGTCCTGCCACCGCAGTCTTGCTCATCACCGACCGATCCATGAAGAACGGATTGATGCCAATCGTGCCCTTCCCCATGTGGACCAAACCTTGAGCGATGCGGACCATGAACAAACAATCTGGCTCCTTCGCATAGTATCCCGCGAGTTGACGGAGCATCTGCGCTAGCCGAGCATTGTTCGTACCCGCGCCCACAAGACCCATCGCGAAAATTGCGTTGAGCGCGACGGCAAGGTCATTGTCGTGACTGTATTTTGACAGCGTGTCCAAGATCGACAACTGAGGATTTGACGCGGACACCAGGCCGAGGGCGAGAGGCACGGTCCGACGGATAACAGGCTCGCCATAGTGCATCTGACAGAGTCAGTCAGTTGACGTACAAACAATGCATAGAAGACCGCTACCAGGTGGTTGAACTGCCGTAGTGACATCTGCGAACCAATGTCTTCCCCCATTGCAACGAGCGCGATCCCAAGCACGGCGAAAGCCTGAAATGTGTCGTCCTTCTTCTCCTTCTTCTCGTCCTTTTCTTTCTCCTCCTCTTTCTCCTCCTTTTTGTCACCCTCCGCGGGTTCACTTTCCTCCTTTTTCTGCTCGTCTTCCTTCTTCTCCTCCTCCTTCTTCCCACCTCCTTCCTCCTGTTCACCCACTCCCACGTGCTCGTCGCAATAGTGCAGCATCTCCTGTACCTTGAGCACATTACCCGTCCCGGCGTACGCGCACATCTCGACCATGATTTGGGTCTGGTGGGATATAGTATGGGGGATCGCCTTTAATGTTTCAATGGTTGCGTCGTAAGAATCTGTTCCTTGTACCCCTGAAACGAAAGTTAGCGCATTGTTGGTCAGAGTAAGGCAGCAGGATTCGTATACCAAGGTAAAGAAGAGCCAATCCGAGACCCATAAATCGCGCCCACTTCTCCGCAAGATACTTGTCTTCCCGCTCCATGAATGTTTGCAGGATCACACTCGACGCTTCGCCGTTCTCGCTACCGACAAATATGAACCCGATCGCCAGAGCCGCAAGGCCGGCGATCTCCATGCTCACCTCCTCGTCCGCGACGAACGGTATGAGCATGGCAAGGATGTCCTCTCGATGCGAACCGGCGTATGCCAGGCCAAGTCCCACAATCGCGCTCGTCTTGAGAGGGACGGACTTGTTATCGATTTGTTCACCAAGCAGAGCAAGTGCCGCGTCCGCGTCCGACTTCACACCGGAGTTTAGGATACCGGTCGCAAGGAGTGCACCCGCCTGGTTAATACAAGATAAGAACAAAACTATACGCAAAGCAAAGGACCACCCAACCTTGATGTATTCTTCGGACGAATAGGTGTACTTGTCGACGTGACTGAGACCGACGTCGGTATCCCACAATAAGCTCAACCCAAGACTCGCCGCCGCTGACATCATACCTGGAGAAAAAAGTCCAGATGTGCAGGACAAAGAACGTGTATAAACATACCGTGATCTTTGTTCTTGTAGATCCAGGCATTTCCTTCTTCCGCGTCCACCATGAGTTTGTCGTTACCGAACCCGGCGTTTACAAACGCATTCACGAAAGTGCTCGCCAAGTTTCCTCTTGCCGAGTCCACATTCCCAGCGGTAGGGCCACCTGACGCACTAGTGAGCATCCCGAGGCTGATGAAACAAACATGCTTACGGGTGTTCTCCAGGTGTGTCTTGTACACGTCCTCTAATGACTTGGCTTCCTCCACGCCAACTTCCTTCCCAAACTGGCGGAAGTGCTCACTCAGTCGCGAGTTGTTCAAGATCTCCTGAATATCTTCTGGGAATTCTTCCAAGGTTTCGTCGCCGTCCGCATCAAGCGTCGTGCTTTGAAGCCAGAGAAGAGGCACATTGGCACGAGCTAGAATCAATGCTAGTTGACGCTTCATGGATCTGACAAACATCTTCGTGAGACGGCAGTTACAGAATGTAAACGACATAAAACCATACGGGTTCCCCGGGGCCTGGAAATCCTTCCGAATCAGTGCGGGGTCGTTGAGTCGGATTGCAACGGCAAGAGCCTCAGGGAATTTGAGATGCTTCTCGTATATCCTGTGCACAGTTTGGAGGAATGCGAGGTCATCCTGTGGAGGCAGTAGATTGACACAACTGGGATATGAAATCAGCACTAGCAAGGAGTAGAGCGACGAATTGCGTACGCCATCATGTATGCTGCGACGCGCTGATAGGTATTCTCGTCGAGAAATTCGACGATCCGGTCAACGATTTCCAGCTCCTCAAGCAGATCGACGGCATCTGGTTCCGCATTATGAGCGATGAGAAATTTGGCGCAGACGACTGCAAGGTTGTGAAGATCATCGACGGTGCCAACCTCTAACGGAGCTGGCGGCAGTTTCTCTGCGGCTCCTTCGCTTGACGAGCCTTCTGCGGGCTTCGTTTGCTCGATAGGAGCCGGTGGAAGGGTAGAATCTACCTCCAGCCGGAGGTTGAACTCTTCTCCGAGTTCTGCGGCGAGATGGCGAACGTATTCGTGTCCCCAGTCACCAGGATCGTCGAGAGGGGAGGTACGTGCGCGCATGGAAGACGCGAGCAGGCGGTATCGAAGGGTGCCGCGGGGTTCAGTGTCGGAATAGGTCATGGCTAGAACTGAAAGGATGTCGGCAAATAGACTCTATACAATCGGTCAGTGATGACTTCACAAGTCTTCAATGTCGCACGGGACCGACCTTGTCTTCCGAGGGTGTCCAAGTTTCGTAAAGAGTTTGCAGAGCAGGGTAATGGGGACGCAGAAATTTGAGGGGTTTTGGAACAGATGTCATCGAGGAAGTTGACGTCCTGATTAATGTCCGAAGGGTCTCCAATGCAGGTCTGTACAGACTGGTGTTTGATTCCTACGAAGGCAGGTTAGTGCATGATAAATAGGTTAAACTCTTCGTTGACGGCGTGCCTTCAATCGCTCAATGAGCATCTCCAACTCCCCCTGAAGTTGGAGGTCCTCCTCCGACTAATTCAAAACAGATGTTAGACAAACACGCGCTCGCCGAGGGGTGTACGCACCAAATCCTCCTCCTTCTTCTCCTCTGGCTTCTGCTTTCCTGACGCACCATCTGGCTTCTCTTCCTTTTTCTTGGGATCCTCAGACGGAACAGAGATCGCGATTTCGGATGGTTCAGGCATGGTGGATGGTGGAAATAAGGGGAGAGATGACCGCGGCCGTGCTCGACTGCTTGACTGGACGCGCGTCGCGTCACCGTAACGACGTGATGGTTTAGTCACTCTTGGTGACCGATTGTGACCATACGCGCTCTGGATTTCGCTATTAGGTGGTTAGTTGTGATTGTAACTGCCTATTACACATGGCCGCCTGGCGAAATGGCATCGCGTCTGACTACGATTGCGTTATCAGGAGATTGCAGGTTCGACCCCTGGGTTGGTCATTTTTGCCTTATTTCACCCTCTCCTAAAGCTTTTTCATCAGTGATTACAATTTACTACCATAGACTATATATATAGTACATGCCAAGTTACCAACTAGTGATTCGATCGATCAACAAGGTGGTACACCGTAGGTCCCGGACGTACGGGTACCTACCACCTAGTTCCTGTTCTAGTAGCAATACAATTAAGGATATACTACTACCCAGATAACTGCCAGAGAGTGAGACTGAGGGAGCGGCGAGCTTGCCTGTGCATACTCATACAGATACTCAATCGGCGTATTCTACATTCCAAAAGTCTGTAGCAAAACCTAAAAGATACAATTCCCAAAATCCACAGCGTGCAAAAAATACATAAAAGCACCCGCCATATATCTCATCGTACATTCGTCCGCAATCTGCGCCAGTAGATCTGACCCGTCCGAGGGCCTATACATACCGCACCCACTGAATGCCGAAAGCAGATCGATCAGAGCCCGTCTCGCTGAGAACACGAATGCCAACACGTACCGAGTCGTAAGGCCTTGCAGGAAACCTTCCATGATAGGGTAGGCTGTCCCGCTCCTCGTGGAACCGCGCATACTTGATGAAATCGCCCTTGTGGTTTAGGAAGCCATCCGTGGGGTTGGGGTAATCCGCAAGCTCCGGAGGATTCGCGCGCTCAGAGGGAGCATACACGACCGTCTTGTCCGCCGTGAGGTGGTCCCCCCGCTTGTTCCAGTACCCGCGACGGATCCGACGAGTGGACATCTCGGGTGGGGAACGACTGGAAGGCATGCGCCCACTGATCATATCCCGAGGAGGTTCCGGGAGCGGATTTGAGGACTGCGATCTCGAGTGCGAGGGATAGGACGTCACGGGTTGCGTCGCTGACCGGGAAGAAGACGGTTGAGCGTATGCTTGGGAAGAGGCCGTTATAGGCGTGGTATGCGAACGGGAGTGAGAGTTATTGGAGGAGGGTGAAGGTTGTGCATAAGGCGAAGAGGAGGACGTGGTGGCTGGAGTTGAGCCGTACGGGGACGCGGAGCTTTGCGAAGCAGAATGGTATGCTTGCTGTGAGGCGGATTGGTATGTTTGCTGTGAGGCGGATGAGTACGGCTGGGAAGCTGCGGCTTGCTTCGAGGCACTGTTTTGGGCACTGGCAGTTGACGCCTGCTGTGACACAGACGTGTAGGCCTGCCGAGACGATGCAGAAGGATACGATTGAGGCATAGGGACAGTGGCCGGCGCTTGGCCAGCAGGAGCGTGCGCAGACTGCGACGCAGAAGAGTACCCACGGGAGGTGGTCGCATATACCTGCTGAGAAGCCGAGGTGTATGGCTGATGGGTGGACGCGGGCGCTGTCTGTCCTGCCTGCGGATACGTGTGAGAGGATGCAGCTTGGGAGGGATATGAAGAAGCAGAAGATGGTGTATTATAAGTGGCCTGGGATGCGGATGTAGAGGTGGAAGTGGAGGCAGGTATAGAAGCGGTGGAAAAGTGGGAGCGATTTGGTGAAGGTTGAAGAGAAGGTGGGTTGGAATGACGTGCCGAAGAAGGTGTGCTGCGTGTATGATTCGACAGTGGGCTTGCCGCCGCCGAGGTCGCTCCCGAGGTCGACCGCTCCATTGGGACGCTCGTATAAAACTTGCTTTGATCCGGGGGAAATGGATATGTGGGACTTCGCGGCTGCTGACGCGTATGCCTACTGCTCTCTCGACTGCGATGGTGTGGATGCCGGCTGCTGTCTCGACTCCCTTGCCGTGTTGTTGACACCGACGCTGACGCCGACGCCGATCCGGACGAAGCTGCAGTTGCAACTTGTGCAGCAGAGAGTATAGCATCCTCAATTAATGGGCTCAGTGAACCATCTGGCTCTTCAGAAAAGTGCGTCAGATTAGAGATAGTAGTGTTGACGGCAGGACGTCCGCGTTTCTTGTCACGATCCCTATCGCCGTCTCTACTATCCCGTTCTCGATTTCGATCGCGGTCACGGTCACGATCACGATCACGATCACGATCAGAGTCGCGATCCGTTTCTCTGATCCGTTCATCTCGTGAAGGGGGAGAGGGTATGAAAGGTGCCGAATTTTGCCGTGCGATTGCGGAGGCGGAGGCAGAGGCGGAGGCAGAGGCAGCGGCAAAAGCGGAGGCCGTACTTGTAGGTTGCAGATCTGGAACAGTCTGAGAACGCTGAAGGCCTGAGGTACCGGTCCTCTGGACGTTTGACGATGCAGTGGCGCCACCCTCGGGGTACTGCGAGCCAGTTGTCCGTGGCGTGTTTCCGGAGACTTGACGGTAGTGATTGGGGGTCCTGACGATCGCAGGAGAGAAGGTCGTTCGAAGCTGTCTGACTTGGGCGTAAGTCTCGGGTTGGCCCATGGGGGTCGCCTCTTCAGGACGCTGTGCGACCGGCGCGGGAAGCGTATGCGAGCGTTGTATCTCGCGAGCGTTCGTTTGAGGATGAGTTTGTGATGAGGCCTGTGAGGCGCGAGTCGCCGGAGGCAGAGAGGGGATGGTAGGTTGGGAAGAAGTCTGAGAGGGTTGCGGATACTGGGACTGCGATTGTGAGGTTTGTGGCGGAGGTGGCCGGTAAGCAGAAGGCGGGGGCTGGACTCTTGCCGCTTGAGAGGCCTGCGATATAGGCTGCTGTGTCTGTGGCTGCTGCTGCTGCTGCTGTTGTTGTTGTTGAGATTGTTGTTGCGGAATCTGTTGCTGCTGGCTATGTGTACCGTAGAAAGCTGCCGCCGCTGTCCCGTTCGTCCTCGCCCCACTTTGATTTGATGGGGCCTGCAGCCGTTGACCGTTGTCTTGGGCTTGAGTTTGGGCCAGCGCCTGAGCGGCGGCAGCACCGGACGCTGTCGAGCGACGGACAGAAGAACTGGCGACAGGGTCGTCGTCGTCGGTCAGCTCTCGGGGAACCCAAGTCCAGGGCGTGTGGGGGGCCTTCCCGCGTGTGCCAGTAGTACCCTCTCCGGGCTCCTGTCTACAATGATCGGTAAGTCGACTTGGAAGGGATATATGCGGTCGGTCATACGCACTTGATGTGCATGTTTTCTAACTTCAATCCGTTATCAGTGAGCTGAGTATTCCAATAGCTAGGATCTCTTTGCTTCTGCGTCAATACAGATGGGTGGTAGTACTGCGCGGGAATCCCCCAGCCAGAATGAACGTTCCAACCTGTCATCGACGGCGGACCATAGGCGGCGGCGTTGCGCGCATTGGCGGCGGCGGCGGCAGCCGCGTTGACCTGGCCGGCAGTAGCGTTGTACTTCCACTGGCCTGTTTGCCAAAACTGAGGGTTAACCCCCGGCGGGACGGGGGGCGCAGGAAAGGAAGCGCCCGGGTTCTGGTAATAGCCATTCGTCGAGGCAGCTTGTTGACGGGGCGGCCAGCCAGAACCGGAGGCCAAAGTGGCTGGTTGAGATCCGGGAGGAATGGCGGGGGCGACGACGGAAGTAGCAGCAGCAGCAGCAGCCGCAGCCGAGGCTGAAGAGGAGGGAGCTGCATGGGGGGGAGCGCGGAAGGCCCATGGATCGGAGCGATGTGCGTGCTGAGGTGGATACATGGGATCTGGGAGTTTCTGGGAAGATCGGGTTGAAGGAGGGGTCGAGATGAGAGCGAGAAGAGTTTTATGGAGAAGAACGCACCCCGGTCTGCAACACCAATCTGAAGATCGTTCCTCTCCTGGCCGTGAGCAGTCAACCTGTGCACACCGCGCGAGTCGCGGGAAAGCGGCGACTGCTGCGAGTGGCGGGTAACGGGTTAGAAGGAGAGCTGTTACGGGCAGTCCGGGGAAGGGAGAACAAGATGGATGTCCTGGGATGGCGACAATAGCGCGAGAATGGATGCGCGAAGGTGGCGGCTACAAACAACACAGACGCGCCTGCAATTGGAAGTTGCGTTCAAGCCTGGAACTGGAACGAACCCCAGTCAAGTCCACGCGTGACGCGAACCGCCGTTCCTCCCCCCCCCTTTTCTCCTCCGCTCACTGGCACGATGGCCACCTTTCTGGAGCCTCCTGGAGCGTTTGGCTCCGATTCCCCTTGCCCGGGTCTAGTCATTTCGGCAAGACTCTATGACTCTGACTGTTCCTACGCGTGTTTGTCTGCCGCCTTAACTCTGGCTCGGATCCATTCTCTATCGTGCCGCAGTTGGATAATTTCGATGACCAGGAGGCGTTCTGGAGAGGCTTTCTGGTAACGTACGTACATGTGTGGGACGCGGGTTCTCAGGAGGCCGCCACTACTTAAATGACGATGTTGTACTAACCATCTCACCACTGCTCTCTATGTCGTGTCAATGTCTCTACCTCTAAGATTCTTCACTTACTCTACTTGCTATTTGGTA